TTGTCTGCGGTGTTCTCTGCCATACAGCTAACTCCCGTCCTCCCCGGTTTTGTGGTACTGGGGGTTGAACTGAGACCTTGCGCTTGCCAGCAGCAGGTGCTTATGCCGCTGAGCTACGTCCTGGCCCAGTTCCCCCTTTTAATGTGCTACTCATGAGCGATTTGTATGTCCAGCCCACAGCCAAAGGAAAGAGAATGTTTGAATATGTCGTTACATTCATGTGTGCTGTGGCTTTCTCTGCCAGAGTCTTTGTTCAGATGAGATCATCTGACAGAGGAGTGAGGTACACTTTGCCAAGTGGGGTTCTGGCCGTTTAAGCACCGCTTACTGAGTAATTGTCTCTTATCCCTGATTTGAAATGGCATCTGCGGGCCAGGAAGATAGCTCAGTAGAACAAATGCTTGCCTGGCAAGTGCAAGGACCTGAGTTCAATCCCAGGTTCCGCAAAAAAAGAAAGAAAAAAGGCATCTGCATCATGAAGCACAGCCCTGTGTGTACTCTCTTTTGGATCTGTTTTCATTTCTCAATTCTTTGGTGGTTTTAAAATAATTAAGATTGTGTAAACTTTATGAAAGAGGCCACTGAATTGTTCATCTAAGAAAGAGTGAAACCTACTTCCACATTCTACATAGCACTCGAGAATAATCATTCACTTTACATGATTTTTTGGTTTACTCTGAGGAAAATGAATTTTTAAAATGATATTCATGTCCGTAATTTTTTGGCAGCATATCAGTGCCTTCAAATCTTAAAAATAAAGGAAAATATTCTACCTCTGTGTGCTTCAAGACGGGCTTCAACTTCTGTCGTACCTCAAATTACTACTCACTATACTGTGTATCCCCGGGACAAGGACAAACGATGGGAAGGTCGGTGACTGCATATAGACTGTTGAGACTTCTCTGATACTTTGTAATATTTTGGGGAGGGGATATTTTATTTTTCATGATATTTTAAAGACATCTAATAATACTTTATGTCTTTTAATAATTATGTTGCATATTTCTACTTAGATAAGTAGAATCTTGCTAAATTTATAACACTGAATCTCAAAACCAAAAGATTGCTTTAAGAAAACTAAAGTAAGAGTTGTAACTGAAGTGGAACCTACAAATACATCAAACAAGTATAATAGTACACCTAGCATAATTATGTGAAGCATGAAGGGAATTTAGTGGATAATTTGTTAATCACTGCATGATTTATTGTGTTGTATAAATTCTGGAACTTATATCTGTGTGCCACGGTTTTCCTCCCAGGAGTGAACATGGAGAGATTTGCAGAAGAAGCGGACGTGGTGATCGTGGGTGCAGGCCCTGCGGGGCTCTCTGCCGCTGTTCGGCTAAAGCAGTTAGCTGCGGAGCACAACAAGGATATCCGCGTGTGCCTGGTGGAGAAAGCTGCTCAGATCGGGGCTCACACGCTCTCGGGGGCTTGCCTCGATCCGGGGGCTTTCCAAGAGCTCTTCCCAGACTGGAAGGAGAAGGGGGTATGAAAAGCTGCTGCTTATGCAAACTCGGGCCTTTGCTGTAGCACTCTTCCTGGGTCCCTGGAGTAGAAGAAACCCTCTTCATGTAATTCTGTCATTCTGTCTCCAAGGGGGAGATATATCTATATCTATCTATCTATCTATCTATCTATATATAAATAATTTAAAAAGAAAAATATTGACTCATCAGAATTGTGATTAAGATGTTAACTTGTACCTTTATATAACACATTCTATGTGCTTTTTACATGCTGCATATATGAGGAGACATGATTTTGAGCAGACTTCTGAAAAGTTCTGTGGGTGTCTGTATCATTGGTTTTTTGTTTTGGGGGGCTACCAGGAATTGAACTCAAGACCTCACACTTGCCAGGCAGGGGCTGCACCACTGAACTAAATCCCTAGCCCTTGCATCATTGTTCTTAGTGAAGTGCTAGGTAGAGTTTTCTGGGACAGTGCAGTATGTGCAGCCCAAATGGGTGATGTAATTTCACAAGCAATAGTGTGCGATGACTTCCCATGACCTCAGCAGCAAAGCCAGGTGCAGCGTTCAGAGAACCAAGTGCTAGTTTCTCACTGCTTTCAGATAAAACCTGGGTGAACTTGGCTACACTCTTATATTCTCAGTTTTTTCTTCTGTAAGATAAGCTATATTATACCTGTCCTGTTTGCAGGGTAAGAATATGCAATATCTGAATGCTCTTGATAAGACTAAATTAGGTAAAAGTTCATAAACATATTCTTTACATGTGGAGTAAATTGAATTGTAAAAATTTCATCTGTGATCTCCTTCCCAAAATACCATGCTCTTTAAAGTATAGGATTGATGACAAGAAACAAGGAGAAAGATCTTTGCTAATGGGAAGGGCCAGGAGGTGGAGGGAGCAGATACAGTTGAATACATTTGCATGTCTGTGAGCTGTGGTGTGCGCTCCTATAAGTCTTGGTACTTGGGAGGCTGAAGCAGGAGGATCATAAGTTCAAATCCAGCCCGGGCACCTTAACAAGACTTTGTCTCCAGAAATGAAAAGGCTGTGTAGCTCCACACTCTTGGGTGTGTAGAACCCTTGTCTAGCATGTGCAAGGTTCTGGTTCAGTCCCCAGTAGTAGAAAAAGAAGAGGAGGGCAATGTCGATTACGTACATCCCGTCTTTAGCCAGAGGAAAAAGAAAATTTTTAAATTTTTTTCAGCAAGCAGGAAGTTTCATTTTGGAGCCAAGCACTTCTGCTCAACTTCCACAGAACAGGGACACAAGATGCTTACGTTTCAGAGATGTCTCCAAGGCTTCCTAAATAGAGGCTCCTGGAACTGACCTGGCAAGGGGCTTTAACTTTTAGCATTGAAAAGATTCCCACGCACCTCAAAGAGACAGAGAAAGGAATTATAAGGAAAAGGAAAGGCTGAAAGAAAAGGGGCAGGGGGAGTTTACTTTCCTTTACTATCTCCAGAGAAAACAAGTTCTAAAAAAGTTATATTTACAGATATGAACTAAAGCCTTTTCTTTGTTTCTGTTCCAGGCTCCACTTCACACTCCTGTAACAGAAGACAGATTTGGAATTTTAACAAGGAAACATAGAATTCCTGTGCCAATTCTTCCAGGTAGAGTGAAATGCATATTCATAGAGCATGGAATGCGACAGCTGGAGGGGATTTCACTAGAGGTGGAGAAGTCCCCTTCTTTACAAGGTGAGGAAACTGGCTGCCCATATGAAGGATTTAGCCAGTGACACACCTTGCGGATGGGAACGCAGAACTAGAAGTCAGCTCTCAGCAACAGCCTCGTAAGCCGGCCAAGAATTTTCAACTTAATAAATTAGTGCACAGAAAAGGACATGAGCGCTGGAGCAAAGCAGCGCCTGTACCATGAGAAATTGTGCCCGCTACTCCTCGGACAGGACTAATATCTAGAATATGTAAATAACTCAAAAAAGTTAGACTCTGAAAACTAAAAGACTCATTCAGTGGACACTTGAAAAGGATAGTTCTCAAAAGAAGAGAGCTAATATTTGAAAAAATGTTTACTATCTCTGGCCATTAGAGAAATGCAAAGTAAAACACCACCGAGATTCCATCTTGTTCCAGAAAAAATGGATGACATCAAGAAATCTAATAACAAATGTGGGAGGCTACAGGGAAAAAGCAACCCTTCTAAATTGTGTGGAAATGTAAACTAGCACAGCCACCATGGAAGTCAGGGACATTCCTCTAAAAACTAAAACTAGTGAGGCTGCATGGTGGTGCGCCTGTAATCCCAGCGCTTGGGAGGCTGACAACGGGAGGATCACTATGAGCCCGATCTGCGTAGTGGAGCCCTGTAGAACCTGCACTAAATACGTTTTGTTTTTATTTTATTTTTTTGGTGGAATTGGGGATTGAACTCAGACCCTTGTGCTTGCCAGAGAAGCACTTTTTCCACTGAGCCATCTCCCCAGCCCCATAAGTACGTTTTTGTTTTGTTTTTTAAAAAACCCTAAAGCGAATGGTTCCACTTGGCCTAGCAGTCCGTTCCAGGTAGCTTCTGCAGAGTTAAGCTCATGTGACAGTGATACGGTCATATCCATATTTATAGTAGCACAGTTCATAATAGCCAAGTCTTGGAAGTGGCCTGTGTGTCCAGCAGTTGACTGGATAAATAAAATGTACTCACACACGGTGGCGTACTAAGCCATAAAGTAGAATAAATCGCAGTCATTTGTGGGACAGTGCATACATTTTCAAATCCTACTGTTAAGAAAAGTCACACACACAAGCTTAAATATACATGGTTTTTCTCCTGTATGAGAAACCCAGAGTATACATAATTTAAAGAGCAAAATAAAAGATAATAGAAAACAGAGATATTGTCCAAAGGGACAAGAGACCAAGAGATGGGGGAGGGAAGGGAAAGGGAAGTGAGGTGCGATAGCGCTTTCTGTGCGGCCGCCAGCTCCCCCGTGAATGGGATCGCATGCACAGCAAATTCATACAGTAAAATAATTGAGAGGTCTCAACCAAACTTATGAAGGTTGAAGTTATCAAGATAGCATATACATTTAAATAGAAATATGTGTTGATTGAGAATTTTAAGTGAGATATTCTATCAATAAAGTAAAATTTACAATTTTTTTGTTTTTTTTTGTACCAGGGATCAAACTCAGGACCTTGTGCTTACCAGGCAGGCAGCTAATCCTCTGAGCTAGCTCCCTGGCCCAGGATTTATACACAAAGTCTGTATTTGCAGGTCTTCCGATGAACAATCATGGCAATTACATTGTTCGCCTGGGACATTTGGTGAGCTGGATGGGTGAGCAGGCAGAGGCCCTTGGTGTCGAAGTCTACCCTGGCTATGCTGCTGCCGAGGTTTGTGTGGTTCATTGCCTGTTTGTGGCAAGTTTTGCAATACTTATTTACATTTGAAAGTAAAGCAAGAATTTTACAGAAGTAAAATATTTTTGAAAAGCTGTATGTATGTTTTAGAATCAAAATGAGAGGAAATCTTAGGAAATCTCGACCGAAGAGCACTGCCTTTCTTGTGTTGTGCCCATGAGGGGTGCAGACCTCCCCTGGTGGACTGTCTGGTGGGTGGGTGGTAATCCCTTCCTTTGTGAATGGAGAGTGTCTCCTGCCTCGTGCTGCACAGGACACCTGTGGCTTCCTCCCCGACAGTTCCGTTACCACGGTCCTGTCCTCCTCCCTCCCCATTTTCATGCTGGGGTTTTTCCTTGCCACGCTAAATATCCTCATTTCTTTCAGCCATCGCATTATATCATTTGAACTCTTTCAGTGTTCTTGTTGCTATCTTTGAACCACGCCATTTTATCTCCTTTCCCAAGTGACACCCAAAGTGGATAGACTGTCCCAAGCCTCGTGTAGAGCAGGCCCGGCGCCTTCCGCATTCTGGGAACTGCTTTCCGAGTTGTGTCAGTTCCCTCAAGGAGTAACATCTCAGCAGCTGTATCACACTCGTCATGTTTCCTTGGGGGAATTATTGAAGTCTAACTCAAAAACTGCACTCTACAAGTTATAAAAAAGAATGAAATAAGTGTATTTTTTTGTTTTGTTTTGTTTTTGTTTTGTTACTTGCAATCAAACTCTTAATCTTGTGCTTGCCAGGCAGGCCTGTGCCGCTGAGGTATATCCCTGGCCCACAAGTTTATTATTACATAAGCAGTAAACCAAGTTAAAAAAAGAAAACGAGAAGAAATCTTAGTCTTTTATTTATTTATTTTTATTTTATTTTTTTTGCGGAACCGGGGATTGAACTCAGACCCTTGTGCCTGCCAGGGAAGCGCTTATTCCCCTGAGCCATCTCCCCGGCCCCAATCTTAGTCTTTTAAATAGCAAGTTAGAGTCTATTACATACTGTTTATTATTGTCACCTAAAGGAAAAAATACGGCCTTTTCTGTGTTCATTTGCTTGCTTGCTTTTGACTGGAAGTTGCAGCTCGGCGCCAGGCTGCTAGCCCAAACTGCGGCCGGCCGGGACCAGAGGCCAGGCCGGCCCCTCGTGGGTGCTGCTGGCGGGCCAGGCCGGCTGCAGTGCTGGCTTGTGGCTCAGCGAGCTTCCGGACAAAGGCCCGTGTCCCAGGAAGGCTGAGAAAGGGTTCCGGAGCCCACCTGGCTAGAGAAAGTACTGAAAGGGAGGTGGAGGGCTGCACAGTGGTCTTTTCTCTTTGGCACCAGAAATACTCTCAAAAGCTGTTTTTAATCCTGATAGTGAAAGCACGTAGGCCCCCGTGCGGTGTGTGCACTCAGCGTTTGTTTTTCCCGCCTAGGCATGCATTCGGGCTTTTTTTTGGTATGTCTTTGGTGCGGGGTCTGACTACACAGCTCAACTGGCAGTGATCCATCATAGGAGCCTCCCCAGCGCTGGGATTACAGGCGTGCACCACCATGCCTGGGACTCGCCCGGGAGTCCCTGGGGACTCAGAGGCTGGCTGAGGGCGCCCTGGGGCCGGGGTGGGGTCGGCAAGGCCTGTGGAGAGGGGATCAAACCGACAACCCTGCGCTTAGTTCTGATGCGTTTCGGGGGTTTGTATTCATCCTGCAGAACTGCTGTCTGGGCAGAGAGTCCCAGGTAGGTGAGGTGTAGCTCCCAGGATGTGCGCTGAGCAGGGGCGCGTGCACCTGGCCTCTGGTACCCACTCTCCCTCAGGTCCCTGGCAGTTAATACCAGGACATGACTGACGTTGGCCAGGTCTTCTGCCTGAGCCGCAGCGCTGCTGTCCCTTTTGCTACCCACTGCTGTTACCTTGTCCCGCCCTTCGTGCCCCTGCTTTCTGCTGCCTGTGTTGGCCCCTGTGTGCGCTTGTGCCCGGAGTGCTTCCTCCCAAGAGGGAGCAGGCCCGGTTCAGAAGCGTCGCAGTTGCGCCTCTTCGCAATTACACTTTTCCCTTTTATTTCCAGAAATAAACTGTCATCACTGCTGGGATGGCATCAGCCTCCTGGTCCGTGTGGTTTTATATTTTTGAGGTCTTCATTCGAGACAGACTTGAGTGACACCTTCGCATTCCCCCGTGTGCTCTTCATTTGTGACAGGCTTGATTTCAGGCGCCCTGGCCGGGCTCTGTGATCCGACCCGAGAGAGCTGCTCGCTTCAGTAGCACCCGCTCCCTCCCCTCCCGTGCTCTCGTGGGTCGTGACAGTGCCTCAGTTTCCAGCCGTTCTGTTGTGTAGTCTCATGCAGAAAGGGCTCGCTGAAAAGTGTATCTTACTGTAGCCGGAACATGTCAGCAGGCGCCTTTACCTCCGTTTTCTGGGGAAGAGGCATCCCTTCCTGAGAAGCCGTGTCGGTCTGAGTGCGGGTGGTAGTACTAAGGTGGTTTTTATCGTTTTCAGGTCCTTTACCATGAAGATGGTAGTGTAAAAGGAATTGCCACTAACGATGTAGGAATACAGAAAGACGGTGCCCCGAAGGTAACTAGCTTTTAATAGTTGTATGTTTAGTAACCGGACAGACAAAAAAGGAACACACCGAGACTCCTTCAGGTCTTGCTAAAAACTATGTATTATGTGGGTTTCAATTGTGAATTTTTCTCTCATTATTAAATATATATAAACAATTTTGAACTGTCTGACTTAGATGACATGTTCAAGAATAATTTTTTAGACAGGTGAGGTGGTGAACTCCTGTAATCCCAGCACTATGGGAGGCTGAGGCAGGAGAATCACAAGTTCAACTATAGCAGGACAACTTCGCAAACCTTGCCTCAAAATAAAACAAGCTGGCTGGGGAGACAGCTCAGTTGAATAAGCGCTTGCCTGGCAAGCTCAAGGGCCTGAGTTCAATCCCTGGCTCTGCAAAAAGAATAAATAAATAAAAAATAAGCTGGGGATGTAGCTCAGTGTGAAGGCTCTGGATTTTATCACCAATACCACACAGTCATATAAACAGTCAAAATTTTGTTTCAATGAGATGATTAAGAAGTTATTACATCCAATTCAAGTAAAATGTAATGCAGACATGGATTGGTCATGAGTGAACTGTATTGCAAACTTCACACTTTTCATTCCTACGAACAAGAAACATTATTTATAGGCAAATACTGATAGACTTTAACCTGATTTCAGCAGGTCTTTGTGTTAATATAAAACTCCTTGCCTTCGTCTCATTGAGGATGTCAGCCTGAATACTTTTCACGGCTTGTATCTGGAAAAAAGCCATGAGAATATACAGTATTCACCTGTGACCATCCTCAGAAAAGAGGCAAAAGTTACCTTGCTTTTCTTTTTTTTCCTGTAATTTTATTGAGAAACAAATAGCAATGAGACAGTTTCAAACCAAATTGGTAGGACAGTTCCAATAATTAACACATTGCATTCATTCTTCCTAAACCTTGCTTTTCTATAATAAAGCCAAAACATAAATTAAGCCTTAATGAATTACCTGATTATTACCTAATTCCTGACGAGATCCTAAGCTCCCTTAGGAGAGCGTAGGGAAGGGCACTCCAGGACCTGGCCCAGGCCACGCATGCGTTGTGGGCAGAGTTAAGATTCTAGGCTTCTCCGGCCTACCTCCCTGCTTCTGATCACTTCCAGCTCAGTCCCAAGGGGCAGAGCTGACCCCAGACCTGCACCAAGCTCCTTCCGGTAGTTGGCGACTGCAGGTTCACTGTGGCTGACCCCACTGCAGGAGGCACCGGAGCCCCACGGGCTCTGCGGCATCACCTGCTGTCTCACGATCAGAGAATAAAGTTTATACATGCTACACAGTGCCTGCCTGGCTAATACAAGGTCTTGAATTCGATTTTGGGTGCCCAAAAAACCTATTACAAATGTTATAATTTATACATGATTTACTTATTACCGTCATTACAAAATCCACACATTCTTCTGTTTTGATACTTCTGTTTTTTTGTATGGCCTTACTCAGTTTTTGTGTGGGGTGGGTTCTGTCTTTTGTGTTTGTAAAAATGTCTTTTGTATGCTGAGTTTTTATAGGTGTAAACGCAGGAAGTGCTGGGCTTGGTAAGCAGCCCCAGCCACCTTGGAGGCCGGGCGAGAGGAGCCCTGGAGCCCTGGCTGTGGGGCAGCCTGCCCCTTGAAGACAGGCAAGACCCAGCAGTAGGAGACAGTGGGGTCTCAGTGCTTGAACTCTCAAATCTAAGTTTTTAAAAGAATCCTGTAGTAGTACATATTTGAAGTGGAGAAAATGAAGGATTCCAGCGGTGGTGTCCTTCGCTGGCTACCTTGCAGTGGTCAGTGCTGCAGCTCTGGGCAGCCTGCTGGTCACTTGCATCCCCCTACTTGGTCTGGTGTATGTGGACGTGCACGTGTGTGACGTGCTTGCGTGTGACGCCATTCCCAAGGACAAGCTACTGATAAACACGCAGGGCGCGCAGACCCCATAACAAAGGTGCTGAGTCGGTCACAGTGATTCTTCCACTGACGCTGAAAATACTCAGCCACAGGGCTCTCCAGCCCCACACGTGGAGACGGAGATGGCCTTGCTCACCTGCTGAAACATCGCTGAAAACTTAGGCAAGTGACTGTACGATGTGAAAACAAAACAGTGTGTTGTCGGAGACTTAGTCATGTGTACGTACATCCGTATACGTACATGGAAACGGGAAAACAGCAGGAGTGTTATACTTCGCAGGAGGGGTTTCTGATTATTCTGAATGCTCTGACTTAGTGACTTTTTTTTTCCAGTCTGGGAATTAAACCCAGGGTCTTCACACTGAGCTATATCCTCCAGCCCTTCTTTGCATTTTTCATTTTAAGGCAACGTCTCAGGAAGTTGCCAGGCCAGGACAGAGCTTGGATCGTCCTGCCGCAGCCTCCCAGAGTGCTGGGAGTGTAGACACGGGCCACTATTCCCAGCCCCAGTACCCTTACCGAGCAGCTACGACATGCCAGACATAAATGTGTGATGTACTACAAAGAGAAGAGTGCAAGGTGCTCCCTGTCACTCTTCTATAGTAGGGAAACACATTCCAGTTTTACAACATTGCAGGTGAAACAGGGAAAAGTTGCCGGCCCTCCCCAGGGCGCACTGAGCCGGTGGTGGTGGTGCTGGTGGTGGCTGTAGCCCCAGCACTTGGGAGGCTGAAAACAGGAGAATCACTAGGAGTGCGATCTACATAGTGAGACCCTGTAGGCCCAGTACTTGAAAAAAAAATAGGGAAAAGTCAAGTGAAAAAAGTATACTGTCAAGTGAATAAGACACAGAAAGAATGTCACATGGTTTCTCTATGAAACCATGTGACATTATGAAAAGCCTAGAACATAAGTATATAGACAGCACAGAGATGGTAGGAAAAAAGGCAGGCTTGGTGGTGGTATGAGGCTGGGGGGTGGGGAGGGGTGCGGCCGAGCTCCCAGCAGGTGTGGCCCGAGGAGCGTGTTCATGTGGTCCTGTCAGTGTTACAAGGATGTAAATAGCCAGTAAGTTTTAATTTCTAGAAATGTAAGCATAGAAAATCAAAAACTGGGGAAACGTTTTCAGTGGAGAAGAGTCTTTATCCTGAGGGTGCTTTATTTGCCTGTGAACACATTCCATTATAAAGCTTCGGTTAGGGCCCACTTGCAGTAGCACGCTTTTATTTCCTCCCTCCCTCTCTTTTTTTCTTTTTAGTTTTATTTCTGATGTTACACACTTGTGCTGTACCTGAGTAGTAATTCAACCTAAAACTGACCGGAACGTGAATTCATTTCAAGTCGTCAGATGTTGCCACTTAACATGGTTTTTGCTTTACAGACGACATTCGAGAGGGGGTTGGAACTGCACGCCAGAGTCACGGTCTTTGCGGAGGGTTGCCATGGACACCTGGCCAAGCAGCTGTACAAGAAGTTTGATTTGCGGGCTGATTGCCAACCCCAGACCTATGGGATTGGGCTGAAGGAGGTACCCTGACATTATGATTTTCATTTTGAAAGGTGGACATAAAGTAGTTTTTATGGTCATGTAGTTTACAACTGTGATTTAATTTTACAGTTACATGTTTCACTGATTTGAAATAGTCATTAGGGATAGGGAGCCAGCTCAGCGGGTTAAGCGCCTGCCTGCCAAATGCAAGGTCCTGAGTTTGATCCCAAAAAAAAAAAAAAAAAAAAAAAAAGGTTATTATAACTATAAAGTATTTGATATATTTTTCAAGGGGTAAGAAATACTATTGATCAAATTACTGGGTTATTTCTACATTTTGGAACTGTTTTGCTGAATGTTGCTTGCACTGAGTTTTTAAGTTGGAAATATCTAAACTGATTTTACAGAGTTATGCTGTTTGCTTAGTGGTACTGAGCCTCTTACCTCTAGGCTATCGTGGATGGCCATATCCTACAGAAATGTTAATTTAAGTATTTTTTAAATGTACTTGGTGCAGGCTCTCACTACGTAGCTCAGACTCATAGTAATCCTCCTGTTTTTAGCCTCCCCAGAGCTGGATTAAGGTGTGCGCCACCAGGCCTAGACCCAGGGGCCAGCTCAGCACACCCGGGGTGGGCCAGCCTGGCAAGTAGAGACTGCGGATCAAACGTAGGTCCCTGTGCTTGCCTCAGCAGGCACTTGCGCTGAGCTATCTTGCTGGCCCAGAAATGTTTACTTAAAACCTAAAACCCGGATATGGCTGGTGTGGTGGTGCACACCTCTAAAGCCAGCACCCGTGCGGCTGAGGCAGGACAGTTGAAGTGAGTTGAGACCAGCCTGGGCTACATAGTGAGAGCCTGTCTCAAAAGGAAGAAAAAAAATTTTAACTCCAAAAGGAAATAAAAATTGTAGTATGAAGGTAATTTAGTTTATGAAATACTCAGCATGGTATATTTAGCTGTAATGCAAAATTGGGCTCAATTTGGTATATTTTCTCAGTTATCTGTTCTTTAGTCTGTCTTCCTAAATCTAAATTTTCTTCATAGCCCTTTTACAAATGTCTTTTTAAGGACCAAGGGTGTGACTCTGTGGTAGAGCGCTGGCCTGGCATGTTAGATCTTGGGTTCAGACCCGTCACCGAAATGCACATCTGTGCATGAAGAATTTCGCCAGACATCAAGGCCCATACCTGTAATCCTGCGCTTTGAGGCCGAGGCAGGAAGGCTGCAAGCTGGAGCCCAGCCAGTGCAACTCAGCCATTCACTGAGACCTTGTCTGAAACTTTCCGGAAGGGCCTGGGCCAGTGGGTAGCTCCGAGCAGAGGTCCTTCAGCCAGCCCCACTGATGGCAAAGGGCGTTTTTAGGTTAAATCTCAAGTGCAAATGCTGTATGCAGTCGAATTCGTTGTAATGTGAATACAGGCTTGTTTTGGTAGAGTGTACGTATTCTCTGAGTTTTAGATAATATTTCAGGTGAAAGTTATATAAAATTTAAAACCTACCAGTCTGAAAGGGAATGACTTGCTCTTATTGTAAAAGGTGGGGGGACAGCAGATGCGTTGGTTTCCTAAAGAAATGTGTGTTGTAAAGCGACAGCCTAGGTGTGTAACTGTCCCCGTGAGGAGGGGACCCACCTGGCCATGGAGCTGCACTCCCGGTCAGGAGTGCTCCTGTCACCGCACAAAGCCTGCCGGTGCCTGTCGGGGCGCGTGCAGGAGCCCGCGTGCTGCCCCGCCGCCCAGCTCTTCCCTTCGCTAACTCTGTGGACCCCTTGCTTTGCAGCTGTGGCTCATAGATGAGAAGAAGTGGCGGCCTGGGCGGGTGGACCACACTGTGGGCTGGCCCCTGGACAGACACACCTATGGCGGCTCCTTCCTCTACCACCTGAACGAGGGCGAGCCCCTCGTGGCCCTGGGATTTGTGGTAGGTGCAGCCCCTTGCAGACCATTCTGCAGTAGAGCTGAGAACCAAGGCCTCGGGCCTGGAGAGGGGGACAGCTTTCTGTGGCCAGCTGCTCTCGGGTTTGATCCCTGTGTGCAGTGCTTGTGCTGCTGACGGAGCCACCGTGTTCCGCTCGCTCGCTCGCTCGCTCGCTAGGGTGTGGAGGAGGAGGGATGTCCCCAGGGGTTCACTGCCTTAGTCCTGCGACGGCGACCAGACAGTGCCCCCTGGCATTGACAGGGCCTGGGGGCGTGGGCAGTGCTGGCTTCCACCTCCGGCCCTCGAGTGCGTGTGGGAAAGTAGGAGAGGCTGCCACAGTTCACTTGGGTGCCTTGGTGCTGTCTTGGAAATGGGCCCTGAGGGGGGTTCCTGTCCTCCTCCTTCGTAAGTATGACCTAGGGTCATTTTCATTTTCCCTGTAGTACTAGTACAGATTTTCAGTTTAGTGTTAGAATTAGTATTAGTAAAAGGATAATAAAGTATCACATCTCCTTTTGGAAAAGCAGAATCTGAGACACATACACATGTTTTGAGATAATGCCTTCGTGTATAACCCAGGCTGGCTTCGAGCTCACTGTGAAGACGAGGTTGGCCTCTAGCCCTCCTGCCTCGGCCTCTCTGGGGTTATTACACGCCCGTCTTACTTTTATTGATTATAAGCACATGGTGTCCTTCTGTGTAGCTTTTCTGTCACACATTTTTGTATGTGGTTCATTTAAATTTGCCTTGCTGTGTACTTCAGCAAGCACTGTAAAAGAGATGTAGCACTCGGGAGGCCGAGGCAGGAGGGTCGCTGTGAGCCCAAGCCCAGCCTGGGCCACCCAGTGAGCCCGGGGCAGCCTGAACTGCCCGGTGAGCTCAAGGCAGCCTAAACTGCCTGGTGAGCCCAAGGCAGCCTGAACTGCACAGTGACCCCAAGGCCAGCCTGGGCTGCCCAGTGAAACCTTGTCTCAAACAGACCAAAAGCAGCAAAAGAAAAATTTAATAGACATATTTCCTGATAAATATTCACATTAGCTTGGTCTAATTTGAAATTAAAATTAAAATGTTTAATTGTATAAATGTGTCAGCTTTAAATTTGAACCTTTTAAGGTGGGCCTGGACTACCAGAACCCGTTCCTGAGTCCCTTCAGAGAGTTCCAGAGGTGGAAGCACCACCCCAGTGTCGCGCCCACCCTGGAGGGTGGCAAGCGGATCGCGTATGGGGCCAGGGCCCTCAACGAAGGTGGCTTACAGGTGACTTCTGGGCTTTGAGTCCCTATTTTTTATGTGATAATTTCAGAATTAAAAATGTAACATAATCAATATAGTAAAAAAAAAAAAAAAAATAGGAAATTACCCTGAAGAACAAAATTGGTAGTATTAAAGTACCTAGTATTTATAAAGTTATATACACAGTAACTGAATCGCACCATAAATTTTAGGTAGCTTTAGAAATATGTTGATCTCGAGATAAATTTGTGAGTTCTTTGTTGGTTTGTTTTTAACCAGAAAATAGTAACTGGCTGATTCACAGTATTGTTCCTTGATCCTTAACTGCTCAGAAACTCAAAGGCAAACTTAGTTTTCTACATGATTCATCTAATTCCAGCCAACAGAACGGTCCATTCTTTTCGGTGCCCTCTTTTCATGGTTCATGGTCCTACTTGTGTGTGTGTTTGGAATAAATCTTCCCAAATGTATGGCTGTGAAAGTAGATACAGGCAAAGAGGCTCTGAAAGCCAGCCCTGTGGGGTATGCCAGACGATCTGGATCTGGAAGGACTTTACTTCTGCCCTTAGGAGGTCACCTGTACAATAAAAGAATCCCTTCTGTCTCTTAATGTTCCAAGACTCTAGGACTGTTTTAGAAATTTAACTTTTTTGGGGGGTGGGGCTGGCACGGCATGTGGTACTGGGGACCAAACTGCAGTCCCTGCACGTTGCCTAAGCAGGCACTTTAGACTGCTGAGCAATCTCGCTGGCCCAGAAATTTAACTTTTAAAAGAATAGGTTACAAAAATAACAGATGAGCCAGGGGTGTCAATGTGGCACACACCTGTAATCCCAGCACTCAGGAGGCTGAGGCAGGAGGTTGCCATGAGCTTGAGGCCAGCCTGGGCCATGAAGCAGGTTCAAGTTCAGCCTAAACTATATAGTTAGACGCTGTCTCAAAAAAGAGTCAGTCAGTCAATACATAGGAAAATAGGGGGATGACCGTATGAGAATCAAATTCTGTAATAGTAATTCATAAAGTAAAATCATACTTATATAAACATAACTTTTGAAAGCTTAAACTAAAATAAAAAGGGACTGTAGAAACTTTGTAAGATGTATTTTCTAAGGGCTGGCCAAATAGCTCAGTGGATTAAAACGCCTGCAAGCAGGTGCAGAGGCCAGGGGTTCAATCCCCAGGCTGATCTAGTAGTGAAACCCTGAACACCCTGTAGACCCTTTGCTAAAATACAGGGGGAAAAAAATGTATTTTCCTGGAGTGCATATAGTAAAAAAAAAAAAATCTAGATTTTAGTCACTGAGGCTTAAATATTTTCTACTATGATATAGATAGGTATAATTTTTTTATTTTATTTATTTTTAATGTACTTAGGACAGGGTCTGCAGGGTCTCACTACATAGATGGACTTGTAGTGATTCTCCTGTTTTCAGCCTGCCAAGTGCTGGGATGACAGGTGTGCGCCAGCACGCCAGTCTCAGTTGCCATCTCAGTGCCCCCGGGGGTGGGGCCGGCGCTGCCTGCAGGGGATCGGACCTCAGCTGCTGCGCTCTGCCTAAACAGGCACTTAGTTCACTGAGCTATCTGGCCAGCCCAGAAAGGTATAAATTGATTCTTTTTTTTTTTTTTATTCTTGAGACAGGGTCTCACTGTGCAGTTCAGGCTGGCCTTGAGCTCACTTAGTAGCCTGGGCCGGTCTCGAACTCACAACATCCTCTTGCCTCAGCCTCCCACGCGCTGGGATTACAGGGGTGCACCACCATGCCCTGCTCAGATAGGTATAAACCCAGATAGGTGTGGCAGAGTGCGGTGCAGCACAGCCGCAGCCCCAGTTCTCCAGAGGCTCGAATGAGGTAAGCCCCACACGAGCTCAGCAGGGTGCTGCCTCAGAATGAAGACTAAGGGCAGAGAGCTCAGTGTGAAGGCCCTGGGTCCAGTCCCCGCACCACCGAAACAGTAAGTTCAAAGCATCATTTTACTTAAAATATGTGAGTGCTCTGATCTTAAATCTGTCCTATGTAAATGAGTTTGCAGAGTAGCAAAAGGTTTAGCAGCAAAGGAGGATGGTGGAATGCCCATTTCCGGGAAGGAAGAGGGCAGTGGGCATGCTCCTCCCAGCCTCAGCCCTTTCGCCTTCCCTGGCAGCATCTCTGCACAGCCCTAAACTCTGGATTTGGAATATTCAGCTTCACTTCATCTGAGCTAACAAACGCACTGTGACCCTCTGTTTCTCTCAGTCCATCCCCAAACTCACCTTTCCTGGCGGTTTGCTGATCGGCTGTAGCCCTGGCTTCATGAACGTTCCCAAGATCAAAGGCACGCACACAGCAATGAAAAGTGGGAGCTTGGCAGCAGAATCCATTTTTAATCAACTGACTGATGAAAATCTCCAGTCACGGACAGTAGGTGAGACGTCCTTTCAGGAAGTAAGATGGTCAGGTTAGATTTGCTTCAGTTGACACTGAAAGGTCTGTTTTGCATCTGGTCCTTTATGCAGAATGCCACAGTGTGTGCTGTGCACAAAGCAAACATAAACGAACCATAGAGTCATGGGGTTTGGAAACAGTGGTTTTCCTCACGTCTGAGTAGACTGGCAGCTGGGCATGGTGGCACTGCCTGGGTCCCAGAACTCTGGAAGCCGAGGCAGGACGGTCCTAAGTTCGTGGCCCACCTGGACAGTTCTCAAATTTCTTTTCTGATGGGGTCAGGGGAGCTGGGGGTGCAGTTCTGTGAAGGTCCTGGTTTCCATTCTTGGCTCCGCCCTCCAAACCCAAAAGGTAGACACGTGGCCACCTCCTCTAGAGTCCACTTCAGTCTGCCAGCCCCACCTGTCCATCCCGTCCACCAGGGGCTCACACCAAGGTGCCCACAGGTATCCGGGCATCTTTAGGTGTAGAATAGAACAGCTTCACCTGAGGCAGAAGAGGCCACTGGGCCTTTGTAAGCACTGCCACGGGACAGCAGGAAGTGGCCTTGCACCTCCATGAAACCCTCAGGCAGACCCTAGTGGCTCAGCTCTGCTCAGAGCTGCGGTCTGCACCACTCTGACACTCCTGGGCCGTCATGGTGCCCCTCAGGTGGCCCTGTGGGCAGCAGGCCATCCCCCACCCTGCAGGCCTTCCACTGCTGTCCCTTTTGTCCTACATGGACATCTGCTTTGTCTCCTGCACCAGGAGGAAGGGCCCAGCTGAGCCCGGACTTTGAACCTCTCTTGAATGCAGAACCTTGACACAGACGCATGACAAACCTTATTCTCCTCCATGATAGGTGTTGATCTGGCGCCCAGTGGCAGTGACGTTGAGTGTGTGCAAGGCCTGTGGGTTCGATCCCACCACCATGAATAAGAGCATCCTCCTGGATTGTGTGCTTGCCTCTCAGAACTATGCCTGGGGGCTCAGGAGGAAATCGGCAAGATGGCTTTGTTTGGGTGGAACTTTCTGTTTTGTCAAATGCTGTTCCCCTTGGACCCTCAGCCACACTTTAGATTTTGCTTTTTTGTTTTGAGACGGTCTCCCAATGCAGTTCAGGCTGGCCTTGAGCTCAGTTTTTTGCCCAGGCTGGTCTCAAATTCACAACAGTCCTGCCTCAGCCTCCCAAGTGCCAGGATTGTAGGCTTGCGGCACCATGCGAGGCTTCAGCCACACTTCGGTGGTGGTGTGCGTGCAGAGCACTGATGAGCAAAAGGCACAGCCTGTGAGTGGGGAGTGGAGCCAGGACAGGCGCTCATAAAAGGCTGTGACAATGAGTTGTCTCCCTGGTTTGGGTAGTCTCGGGGGGGAGACAGGTGGAAGGGGTTCTTCTCAGGACGGGGTCTCTATGTAGTTCAGACTGGCATTGAACTCACTAAGGCCAGGCTGCCCTCCAACTTGCAACAATCCTCCTGCCTCAGCCTCCCGAGTTCTGGGATTCCACGTGGGCGCCCCCACACTGACCTGGGTCCTTAAATGCATGCATTGAGTTTTAGGTACCTTGTTTTCCTGGTTCTTAGGAACCAGCCTCTGCCTCCAGCTTCACCTGTACATCAAGTCTTGAGAAAGGACGTGGGCCGCACTGGGGAGGCCCCTCTGCAGTAGATCTTAGCTACATCTGCAGCTCACCCTGCTACAACCTCAGTCTGAGGTACTAGGTTCAGATGTGCGGAATATAGTTTTGCAGGGGCACATGCCAACTCCTAGTGGGTAGTAGCAGTCTCAGTAATTACAAAAATTTTCATTTTTATAGAAAGCATGAATCTGAAATCATTAAGGTTCCTTTTCTGTCTGGTTTTCCACATTCACAGTTGTGAGTGTTTAGAGCTGGGGTATACCCTCGTGGCAGAGCCTTGGCTTAGCACAGATGAGTCCCTGGGGTCCATCCTCAGCACTGCCAGGAGAAATCAAACGCTCAACAAACTGTGAGCCTGCCTGCCGTCGTGTGCTCCTGTCATCCCAGCAGCACTCGGGAGGTTGAGGCAAGAGGATCGCTGCTAAGTTCAAGGCCAGCCTGGGCTACATAGTGAAACCCTGTCTCAAAAACCAAACCAAACCAAATGCATTTAAAAAACACAACAACAACACCCCCCCCCATTTTTGATACTATCTTTTGGGAAGATCTCATCATTGTATGTGATTCCTCGGGGTGACCACCTGTCGGGAAGTGATGTTAAGATTTAACTCAGCAATTACCACAAAAGGAAAATACTGTGACAGTGTTTTTAGGCTGCTTGCACAATGGTACACTTTTTTTTTTTTTTTTTTTAAATAAAAGGACTGCATGTAACTGAGTATGAGGACAATTTAAAGAAATCTTGGGTGTGGAAAGAGCTGTATTCTGTGAGAAACATAAGACCATCCTGCCATGGAGTCCTGGGTGTGTATGGAGGGATGATTTACACAGGAGTATTTTACTGGATTCTGCGAGGACTGGAGCCGTGGACTCTGCGACATAAAGGTAATCACACATTTGAGAGTACCCCAGAAGCTCTCAGTACTCAGGAAGGGACCCACTGTGACCTGTCCTTGACTGTTTGCAGCTTGCTAAGAGACACATAATTTATCATCCTCCAGAGTCTAGTACTGGGGGTAGGGGAGATGGCTCAGAATAAGTGCTTGCCTGGCAAGTGCAAGGCTCTGAGTTCAATCCCTGGGTCCGCAAAAAAAAAAAAAAAAAGTACTATAGAAAGACGTAAGTCAAGCTCCTGGTATGCTTCCTGGAAGGGCGAGAAGCAGTGGTGGGTGTGTTTGGCAAGTGTGAAGCCTAGGCTGAGTCCTTAGCATAACTGTTACGAAATGTCCCCCCCAAAATTGTTGAAGGTTCTGACTCCGACCAGCTCAGACCAGCCAAGGACTGCACGCCGATCGAGTATCCCAAGCCCGATGGCAAAATCAGTTTTGACCTCTTGTCGTCCGTGGCTCTGAGTGGCACCAACCACGACCACGACCAGCCAGCACACCTGACACTGAGGGACGACAGTGTGCCTGTGAGCAGGAACCTGGCGGTGTACGACGGCCCCGAGCAGCGCTTCTGCCCAGCGGGTAAGGACTCCGGGCTCAGGTGTAGCAAACGCCATACTGGTGCGTGCTTGCTTCAGTGGCTCGTAAACTGCTTCCTCCCAGTTGTTCGCACTGCTGAGACGGTTGTGAGTCCTGCATTCAGCTTCCATTAGGAGACCTGCACCTCAGCTAGCAGGGATGGAATGGGAAATCTGGTAAGCCCAGCCCAGGTGGCACTGCTCCAGCTGTTCCTGGGTACCCTGACTGGGACAAGAGGACCTCCGCTCCTGTAACTGTAGGATCCACTGGTCTCCGTTGGGTCAGTTTTACCCCGGGGAGGAGTGGCGGCAGGAATGAGAAAAGACAGACAACAAAAGCTAGGCTAGGTGGTCGCTGGTCTGCCTGATGGGCAAGCCTAATGCAGTGGCGACAAAACCTATTGTATTTATACTTCTGCAAAGTTGGTAACATGTGACAAGGGTGCCTAGTGACTAACAGCTGACCTTAACCAGACAGGATGTTTATCTCAGGTCTGAGGTAGCCTGATTGCTTTAGGCAGTGAGGCCCAGTCCCACCTACACACACTTGATCAACTTCCTAGCTTCCCAGCAGCTCCAAACAGTTAACTTTTCGGAGCCACGTCCTAGCTGCTCGTGTGTGTGCACGCGTTAAACCGAGACCAGTGAGTCACTTAAAGTTTTTATGAGGTGTGGACTCGCTGTGTCGTTCAGGCTGGCCTCAAACTCACAGAAATCTTCCTGCCTCAACCTCCCAAGTGCTAGGACTACAGGTGGGTTTTACCACTCAGCTGACTGCCCTAAACCTTTATGTTCACCATACATATGGTTATTTTTTAGTGCTAAGCTTTTAACTCAAATTACAGTAATTGAAGCAGGTCTCATGTGATAGAGCAGTATTCAGATACATGAGAACAAGTGCATTCTCTAGAGACTTCATGCAGGTAGGTTTTCCAACAGCAGTGACCTCCACTGTATTAAGGAAAGAATCGTGTCGTCGGAGCGCTCTTCCGCGGCCGTGCAGCGCCTCCATGTGGAGGGAGCACCAGCTCTGCCACTACTGCTGCACCCCCTTAACGTGCTCACTCGACGGCAGCACAGGCGCATGACGCGCGCTGGGTGGACATCAGGAGACCTTTTTTAAGCTTTCTGGGCTGGCCTGCTCGTGAGTGTGTGATCGCAGCATTCCGAAGGCCCAAGCAGGAGGATCACTACGAGCTCAAGGCCAGCCTGAACTACGCAGCAGGAGCCTGTCTCAAAAAAACAAAACAAAATGAAATTTCCGTAGCCGATCTTTTAAGATGTAAATTTCTACTGACAAACTTCTAATGTTAAAAGTTAAGTATTATCATTTTTACTTTACAGGAGTTTATGAATTTGTACCCTTGGAACAAGGAGATGGATTTCGGCTCCAGATAAATGCCCAGAACTGTGTGCACTGCAAAACATGTGACATTAAGGATCCAAGCCAGAATATTAACTGGGTGGTGCCTGAAGGGGGAGGAGGACCTGCTTACAACGGAATGTGAGCCGCAGCTGGCTCCGCTGGCAGGCACGTTGCATACTTGTGTTCTTCAGGATGCAGATGTGTGGCAACTAACTTTAAAACGTCTTGGCCAGGCTTAGTGCTGCACGCCTGTAATCCCAGCACCCGGGGGGCTGAGGCAGGAGTACTGCTGAGTGTTTCAGGCTAGCCTGGGCAACTTACGTGAGTTTAAGGCCAGCCTGAACTATGCAGCAAGACCCTGTCTCAAAAAAACAAACCAAAAATTATAATAATTGTCTTGATATTAACATTCACAAAGTATCAGTAAAATAAAAATTTTATACAATACATAACATTGACTCATGAAAATTATGAAATACTTCTCTTAAAGCTGTATGTGTAAAGCATCTACCTACATTTTCAGTTCTTCAAAGATTTTAGTATCAAAGCAAAGTGTACTCTTGGCCTTTACATCTGACTTGCCAAATTTAAATCCAGTGTAAAAATGAAGATACTATAGACCAGGAGTTGGCATCCAGCTCACTGCTAGTTACGAATAAAGTTTTATTGAAACAGCCACATCCATTGCCTACACATTGTCTATGATTAAGGTACACTTGTGTTACCACTGCGGAGCCAAGTAGTTGCAACAGACTAGACGGTCCACAAAACCTAAACACTGACTAGCTGGCTGTTTGTAAGAAGTGTGCCAGCCCCTGAACTGTTACCCACAAATAGAAAACACTAGCACAGACTACCACAGACACGCTCAGCACTGGTAGAAACTAAGCTTGCATCTGTTCACTATATAAGTTATGACAGGAATTTAAAACCAGGCTGGACACCATTCTCTGTAAAATGCAGAAAACAATTACAAAAGCTCAATTTCACTGGCATTTGGTAACACTTTATTAAGAGGGAAACTCAGTATTTCTAAACTGTAAACAATGAGGAACTGAAAGCTAGAGACTTAACTCTCCTTTTTTTTACTGCCTCAAACAACCTGTGCATAATACCAGGCAAAAGCGAATCCTCGTTAGGCGAACATCTTTGCATACACTGCCTTCTCTTTATCTTTCTGTGCCTTGATCTTCTGCTTGACTTTCAGCAGTTCTGCCTGGATAGCTGCAGGGAAAGCAAATGCAGTGAGTTCTTCTGCCAGGTAGCACCGCACACTTGTGACAAACTTCATGCCCCCGTCCACCTCGACAAGGCTGCTTGTCCAGAATCTGAGCCCCCACTGAGAGCAAATGCTCGACAGCATCATAAAAACCAGGCATCATTTTGGAACACTGATAACTCAATCACAAATGGTTTCCCTCTCCATTAGACTGGGCCTCAGTAAGACATCAAAGCCTATTTTACCTTTTCTTCTCCAATTGTGCTGCTAGGGATTATAGCCAGGGCCTTATGCTAGAACAGTGCCCTACCAGTGGGTATCTCCCAGTGCTTTCTATTTTGAGAAAGGGTCTCAGTTGCACAGGCTGGCCTCTCCACACCTGGGACTTCCAAAGATATTTTTAAATATCTCTAATATCAATATTCATATTTGCCTTATTTTCTAAAAACAAGTTCATTTCTCTCACAGCTTCTCTAACCAGCCCAACTGCTAGAATACTAGAGGTTATAGCTACATTCAATATGCAGGTTTGTGATCACTAATCCTGATGTGTAGTCACTGGACGAAGGTTAGCTGATTACCAGAGCAAACTTGGTGCGTCACGGAGACGCAGCCTTGGGTACTACATATGGCCTCATACTGGTTCTCTTCTGGAACCCTCCCCTGCTCTGATCTCCAGCGTGATGTTTCTGCCTTGACGCCTGCTGGCTATGGACTGAACCCCACGAACCATGAGTAAACCCAGCTGCAGGTGTTGGGTGCGATGTCTCAGCATGGGAAAGTGACTGACTGGAATGATTCTGAGGTTGAATTAATCTCAGTGCTGAGTTTTCAACTAAAAAATGGGTCTCAAATGATACTGTGGACCAAACCACTGGAACGGAAACTTATGTTTCTGAGAGGAACTGGAATGTATGCTCTGTGTGGGCAGGGACCCTGACTGCCTCGGTCACTGCTTTAGGATCAAGGCCTTTAGCCTAGTAACACATTCTTTAGTATCTGTCGAACACATAAATACCTGGCAAAGTTAACTACAATGGTTTATGGGGATACATTTTTATAGGATAAAAAGAACTTTACAGAAACTGCTAACTTACCTTTATCTTCTGGTGCTATCTCTTGAGCTTTCTTAAGGTCAGCCTTTAATTGGAAAAAAATTAAAAATTAGACATAAATGATTTATGAAAATAATTGTTTATTTTAAAACATTTAGAACAAGATTTACCAATGCTTGATCATATTCTTTCAATCCTTGCCATCCTTGAGCGCGACGATACAGTGCTTTGGTATTTGACGGGTCTATTTCAAGAGCCTACAAAAGAATCGTAAAATTCGTATTAACACTTAAGTGCCACATGCTGCGCAGCCTCTGCCCCTGGGCACACTGAGCCAGCCACCGAGACCAGGCGTGGGGGCGCACGCCTGGAATCCCAGCGCTGGGGAGGCTGCAAACAGGATCACTACAGGTCTGAGCTGTGCAGTGGGACCCTGTACCAAATACACAAAAACCCCAGGATGGCCATCACCCTTCGCCGTCAGCTCCACCCCTGGCCCTCCTCAGTGCACAAGGAGTTTAGAGCCCATCGGCAGCTCTTCCCGGGCAGCTACAGCCCGGGACAGAGGAGAGGAGGGCTCCAAGGCAGGGTTCCAGAGCTCTTCTCAGCCTGTGCTCAGCGCCTAACTTGACAGGGAAAGCTTTCTGCAAACAAATCTGTACCCACTCGTCGCTGGTAACTCAGCTGGTTCTGGGGGAGCCCTAGCTCTCACCATGGGGTGTGCAGCTCTCTTGTGTAAAATGGTACAGTACTTACATACAATCTACAGCAATCGGACCCAGGACCTTGTGCTTGCCAGGCAGGCACCTGTGCCAGTGAGCTGTCACCCTGCACCATACCCGCCTATATTCCTGTATCATTTCCAGATTACTCTTGTTACAAATACTGTTATTCACACAGGACACTATGAAAGTAACTTCAATTACAGCTATACTGTTTAGGGAACAATGAGAAAAAGTACCTGCTCAGTAGGAAGAAATCTCCAAAGCTGGATGAATCTGAAAATGGGGCCCATAGACACAGGGATTGTGAACTATACACACTTTAATTGAAATCTAGGTTCTTAGAGACATGAATAACCCAGTATGTGGCTTATGTAACATCCTTTGAAAGGCAATATTCAAGACTTTTACTGGAAAGGACACACACTATTTGGTTTCACAAAGGTCGGAAAGACCCAGAGTGGAAGCTGATGTTCCTGCTGGCAGCTCTCACCGCGTTGTGTCCCCTCCGAAGCGGATCTGGAGCTGGAACAGCACTGACTACGGGCTTGCTGAGACACGCGAGGCTGCGGTCCTGCCCCGAGCAAGACTGCATGTTTTCTTAGCCTTTATTTCAGCCAATTAGAATCTGTTAAGCCAGGGCCTCACGAACGCCAGGCAAGCACTCTGTCCTTGAGCTACAGCCCCAGCCCAGCTCTCACTTTAGTTCTCGCTCTGAACAGAGCTAATCTGTGCGCAATGTACAAAAGATACACCACTTGGCTTAGAATTGTTTGACCAGCAATACACCAGGGAAGAGTCAGCGGGTCTGATGAAGGTACAGCCTCTAGCTCTGTCGGTCAGCATGCTGGGGCGGCCGTCAGGAATAGGTTTTCTGTGCACTGCAAGCTAGCGCTTCTCTAGCCAGGCTAGGGTGACCCTCCAGAGGCCCCTCTGTGCCGGTCTTGACTTGGGCACGCTGACTGACCTTTACCTGCAGACATCAGTCTGGCACCCAGCAGGCCACCCACAGGGCTGACCCTGTATCCCCTTGCTGTAGTGTCATAACTGCACCATGGGACAGGATATTTCCATTTTATTAACAAATTAGCGCGCTATACTAGCAATTTACTGAGATCACAAAGCTGCCAGCCGGCAGAAGTCCCACTTTAAAAACCAGAAGGCCAGGGGTGGACCGGGCAGTGGGGTGCTTGCCCAGCAGGCACAGGCGGCACACCCACATCCCCTCTGCATTGGCAGCTTTGGTCCCAGTGCCTACGTGCAGCAGACGCGCCTCAGTCAACAGAAGAGCAGGTGCGCACGGTGTTCAGGTTCTGAGAAGGAACAAGCATCCTCGTAGTCACAGAGTGACAGAGTTAAAAGCAAATGATGGGGGCTGGAGAGATGGCTCAGTGGTCTAAAGCACCTACTTGGAACAAGCTTGGCAAAGCACAGGGACCGCGGTTCAATCCTCCAGCACCACATGCCA